TTATGATAGCAATACATTTACCTAGGCATGAATTTAACAGATTCTTCTTGCTGTTTATGCCAAATTAATAAGCCACAGTATAAAATACGTTGTGTGTTTAGTATGAACTTGACTTTGTTTCCAGTCAACGATTTAACTACTGGGAACGCCCTATTTTTTTTTTCCTGTTGTAGATTTATTTCTATGCAACTTACATTTTTGAACAAGCTGGGATCTCAGCAGAAAAAATCCCATATGTGACACTTGGCACTGGAGCTTGTGAATGCCTCACAGCCCTCACCTGTGTGAGTAACAGTTCATGCTGCCTCCTAGCGTAAAGAGTAACAGCTTCTTGAAGAACACTGGTAAACATGAGATCAGTATAGTAATAGAAAATTATGTCTTGTCCACAGGGTCTACTGATAGACTACGTGGGAAGAAGATATCTCATTATTGGGGGTTACCTCCTGATGACCCTTTGGAGCATTGTTTTAACATTCTGTCTGACTTACCAGGTGTAAAGGCCTCATTGATATTACATAAGACTGGTAGTGAGTGAAAATCTGTGACACTCAAAAGAAGCTGGAAGATAAGAGCTGCATTTAAACAGCAGCATAAAAAATGACAGCAGTTGAACGACTTGATCAATTTCCCTAAAATAAGAGAATGCTCTCAGCTAGTATTTGATCATGTGTTTGTCTTAAAGCTACAGCTGTGTTTAATCCTGACAAAAAGTGATGACCAAACAGCATTTATTCTAGCTTTTAAAGTCATTTTAGGATGAAATACTACATAGTGATGATACTAAGCATCAGAGTCCACTTTGGTCACTTAATTGTAAAGCAAACAATCAAACAAAAAATACCGTAAAGATGCTGAAATTCAAAAGTCACTTAAATCCATTAAGTGTAAATTCAGAAAAACTGTTGGAGACTCACTAGAGATATTCACAGTGCCTTATGTTTGTCATGTGAAGACAACATACTGCCTTGCTTGCTGATGTAGTGTAAAGAGAGGCGCTGTAAATCGTTCTGTACACTGTGTAGGCTCAGATAAGGCAGCCCCACAAACCTGAAATGAACATTCAGAGGAAATCTCTCTGCATTTGCAAACCGTACTGCACTAATTATTTATCGCTACCTTTGGGTAATCCAAGCAAGGTGATGTAGGTGTAGCTCCAACAGCGAGCATCTCAGTTTAGTCAGTACTTGGTTGCCTGATAAATCCTTATTTGGCAGAGGTGGGATTAAAGAGCTGCAGTTCTTCTCCTATCCACACTGTCAGTGTTTGGAGCTGGCTGCGAGCGGGCACGTTGCAGGTGTGACGTTTGGAGGGATGGGAGGGTTAGGGGCTGCACAGGTTGGCAAGCAGCCACAGGAGAGGCACCTACAGTAATTTCTGTGTTGGAGTAAAGTAAGCTGCGAGGCCAGGAAAGAAGTGGAATGAGCCAGCTGATAGGCAAAGGCCTGGGTCTATAATTATTTTATGGTAACTTTGTGAATTTCTTGGTTTGCTTTTGAATAATGGGATTTCAAGCTTAGGTTTGGTCTTTCTAATGCACCTAGTTTCATAGGTATATAGTAATCCTAAGTTTCTTTACTGCATTATTGAAACTTATGTATACATAAATAATGTGATGTCTGTTCACACTATGAAAGTGCTTCATGACAGCTAACTCATGGGATCAGTATAAAATACCAAAAGAAACACTGACAGAATGTTAAACTAGTAACGACACATAATTGCTGTGTCCAATATTGGTGTAGGTTTTTAGCCTCGGAGGACCAATTATAAATCTCAACAGAAGTACTAGACTCCATTTACTAAAAATTATTAAATAAAGAATATTTAGTTTCTCTGAAGCAGTACTGTCAAGTAAGTTAGCTGTGAACAGCCATGAATGACCATCGGCCTTAGTTGTAATGAAACAGCAAAAGGAAATGTTAACTATCAAGCCAAGTTTTAAAACTGGATTATCAGACTCTGAACTAAACCTTCTCATTCTCTTCTGTTGCAGGAGCTGTACTTGTGGGTGCCTTATGTGAGCATGGCATCTATATTTGCCTTCATCCTGAGCTTCGGGCTGGGACCAGGTGTGACACAGCAATGGAAGTTTTTTGGGGGTGAAGCGTGTGCCCGGGCGGGAGGTGGCAGCAGCTCTGCTGGGGAAGCTGAGCAGTGAGCGTTCACTGTTGGCCTGCTGCCGCTCTGGCTGAGGAACACAAGTGAGCCAGTCCCATCTGGAGCCCAGTTTAGTCTCCCAGAGCCCGAAACTGAGCCTTACCGTGTGTGTTTCTTGGGGCCAGGTATGCCCGGGGCAGGGTCTTAGTTCTGGGCTTCACCTCAGTCGAGTCATACAAGCAAGAAAAAGCCTGTTGGGCTTTCAGGGGGGCCCTTGCTCCCTGAGCAGTGCTGCTGAAATGGGGACACTTCTTAGAAGGACATATACTACGTGGGCAGTAGATTAAAAAATGTGCTGTTAAGAATAATTGCTTTTTTTTTTTTTTAATAGACTCAGACCAGCTAGTGGCATATTCAAAAGCAACTCCCATTTTTCTGGCCTTAGAAATACCGCAAATGGACATTTGGCATAATAACTTACTCTGCTTCTGAAACTGTTCCCCCAGGTGGCATAACAAATACCCTGATAGCTGAATTATTTATACAGTCTTCACGTCCTGCTGCTTACATGATAGGAGGAACTATTAGTTGGATCAGTTTCTTCACAATTGGAATGCTCTTTCGCTTTATAGTGGTAAGTACGTGTAACATCTGCCTCATCGCCTCACCTCCCACCCACCGTTCTCTCCGGTTCCACCAAATTGCTTTCTCTCATACAGTAACTCTTAAACATAGGGTGGCACCCTTCAGCCAAGCGTAACTAGATTCAGTCCCTCTTAAAACACTTTTTAGGTATCAACAAAAAAAATGATAAAACTTGATAAATGAAAAGGAATGCATGGAGGCAATTTTCATGTTCAGATTGAAAAATGGAGAAGGTATCAAAACTAGAAAAACTTAGGCAGATACTGAGATTCAAGTAAGATGTTTCTTAATAGTGCCTTACGCTTTTACGTCAAAGTAAAGGAGGTAGTAGCTGGGGCTTGCAGTTCCCACCTCGAGAGCTCGCTAAACTTACAGAGGGTTCTGTGATCAGGAAGATTATTAGGAAAAGCAACAAAGCTTTCATTTGTAGCTTTGTATTTTCAGCTTTAGCACTTAGTCTTGAGAGCAAAACATGAAAGAACAGCACACAGCAGAGTATCTTGATTTGACAGTCCTTTCTTCTTGGTTGAACTCTGCTCTCCATAAGATAGTTGGGGTTTTTAATGTATAGCAGTGAAAAATATTAACAAACATTCAGAAAAAGATAAATCATAATCTTAAAATGTGAGACAGCCAAGTAGCAAATGCTGACTTGTCATTACATTGTGAATTGTTTAGGGTGCGTTTAGATGGTTTATCTTTTTTTTAATAAAAGACTACCAAGTGTATTGCACAGCACTTAGTAGGCTTTTATCTAAAAAGAAGTATTTTTTAAAAAGTTACATGTAAGGATAGGTTGAACATAATTTTATTAAAAATATCTGTGCAGCAATGTTAGGTGTGAATGGAAACAAAAAGCTTTTTATTTTCCACAAGCCACTGTTAGACTTGTAATATGTTGCAATCAAATTTTATTTTCAGAACGGACTGAAGCAGTATTGTTTTCTGGTGTTCATAGTGGAGTGCTCCTTAGTTGCTGCTTTCATCTTCCTCATAATTCCTGAGACAAAAAACAAATCTTTTCTGGAAATCAAAAAGGAATTTCACAAGCTTAATTTTGGAAGAAATACCAAAAAAAAGGCAACAGAGCTTTATGAAAGAAGACAACTCCATGATGAATATTAAAGGAATTCTGTGTAAATTCACAGCTGTAACAGAACCTTAATGAGAATTACGAACAGCGTCTGCTAAATCAGCAGTGCAATCTTATTAAATCCTGTATATTTAGAGGAAGTTTAATTAAATGCTGGTTAATGTTGCTGAAATGCTGTTAACAACCTATTCTATTATATAGAGACGGCTTGATGTTTAGCTACAACGTGATGTTGTAGGCATGCAGAAATGCCAGGAGAGGGTGTTCAGTGAATTCCTCCTGCCAGCAGATTTCTTCAGATAATTCAGTAGCTCTTCTTACGTTTCTAAGCCCCTTCTTCAGAGGTGGGTAACCACGTGTATGTTAATGCCTTACTGAACAAAATATTCTGAGGTGTTAAAACCCAAACAAGAACTGACCTACCACTACTTGAAATACTCGTTTATATATGAATTAGGGTATTTAGTTGCTGTTTTTCATTTAAAGAACTTCTTTCCTTGTCTAGTCCTACTACTGTACCTGTACAAAGACAGTACAGTACCTATCTGAATTACTGTTATTTTTAATAAAGTTTATTAGAAAGACTTGTTTCCTAAAAGGGTACTAATAAAACAGTTTCTGGAGTTTGAGTTCGGGTTAATTTTTTTGCCCTATCCTAGCATCTTAACATTTGAAACTGCAACAGGGTAGAACCTCTTGTCGTTTTGAAGGTCAGTTCCTGGCAGACTGAGCTCAACCCGCTCCAGAGCAGAGAGGACACGATAGGAAGGAAATACTTTTCACCCAGATTTTTCAAGATGGTCCGATACAAGAGACTAGAGAGAGCTTGAAGGACCTACTGAGGGAGCTTTTTGCTTAACCTCTAACATTTCATCCAGGACTCAAAATAAATTTGGCGTATTTTAGTAGTCAAAAAGTAAGAAATCTTAATTACTAATATGGTGTTTGTGTGCGCCTCTGATAGCCATTTCCATACCTGTAACTGCTAGGACACTAGTCCTGCCTTGCCTACTGCATCTTTTCCTGGTTGTAAGCACTTCCCCCTTCCATCTGTTACTTCACAGCTGCGACAGTAAGCACTGGATTTTTTTTTTGTCTATCTTCCTTCTCTCAGAATTAAAGCTTTTAGTTTAAACGTAGGAAGCGAACACCATTTTTCTGGTTTTGGTAACTAAATCAGCTGTTTAATTGAAAATAACATAAACTCGTCACGGTGAAGGAGGCAGTATCAGGAAGGCATCTTCTTGTTCTTTAGTTTATCCTCTAAGTTTGCAAAATATTTCATTTTGGCTAGAAGCTTCTTAGCTTCTTGAAGATCATCTGAAATGAAATAAAACGTTACTAGTTTACAGAGTGAGGGCTGAATTTTCAGTTTCAAAATGGATGTCAAGATTTCAGTGACAGCACCTGTTTCAGTACCAAGAGCTGCAAGTTGTCAGGACCCACACGCCATTAAAAGCACACTGCCTATTATTTTCATCTCGGATGGTTTTGAACACCTCAGTTGAGGGTGTTCCACAAAACATGTAAAAATACAATTTAGAAAAGAAAGGTGACATGAATACCCTTTAATGACTTTTCTGTACAGTGGCTATAGTATCGATGTAGCCACTGGGGAATTTTAAGTACACAGACAAGACAAACTTTTTTTTTTTTAAAAACGCATGTAATTGGCCCAACTGCCATCACTGAAAAATGCAAAAGATGTGCAGGACTCTGGTAACGGACAGTGTCAATTCCAAAACTGATATTGAAACAGCTTCTCCTTAATTAAATGATTGGAGGGGAAAGGTGGTTTATCACCTACTGACAAAGACGGATGCAACACAATCCTTAACTCTCGTAGCACAAAGAACAACAGACCCTAAGGTTGTAATTCTTCACTTGCAGGCCTGGCCAGCGCTACTTTGGGTCTGATGTTTTGCAATGACAACACGCTACTCGTAAACCCAACAATAAAAGCATTCCCAGACCCAGGAGAGAAATGTTAGGGTTCCTTCCCAGAGCAAGAAGCGAGTCAGGAACGGTTCAAGCTCCTGCCTAACAATTGCTTGTGGAATAAAGTTATGTGGACGATCGCACAGGAAGTCCCTAAAACAGGCTAAATGGGGCACCAGGTCTTTGCTTGCTTACAGCTGTAGTGTGAGGCAGCAGACTTCCTCCCATCTTGGCTTTCACTGCAAAGAACAGCACCCACCACTCTGCTGACAGCTTCAAGTCTGCAGAGCAAGATCCCCCAAATTCAAGCTTGAAACCTCAGAACAGGTGGTAAGTTTGAGAAAAAAGTCTGCCCTTCCCAGTACTGTGGGAAGCAAATGCACCAAAAATTTCTTAGCACCTGCACTCCCACTTGAAGTGATCACTTTGATGCAAACTGAACTAACCAGAACTTTTGTACTGGATTTTTTTTTTTTTTTTCATTTAATGTGAGGCCCTGAATTTCCTGCATCAGCAGAAAGGTTGGCTTAGAAGTATTTATTCTAAATACCAAACAAAGAACACTTGTTTATTTGGTATCTCTGTTCTGTAGTTCAGGAAATACTTGCCAGTAAGACAGCGCGGGTTTCTTTAAGCATTTGTAACTGGTATGTATGGCAGCTAAATACTTAATAGAAACAGCTACCTCTTTCAAAAGCTGCAGTCACCTCTTTGGTCAGTTCTTCTTGTTTAACTGCAAAACAAATTATTTCATTCACTTTTTGTTACATACTTAGTATATTTAATACCACTGCATTCTGATTGTCCGTGGAGGGAAACTTAATTACTAGTCTCACAGCCTTCTGCGAGCTAAGAGAGCTTTTTGTAATATTGCTGTCGTTTGGGGTTTTTTTTGATTATAGAATCAGAACAGTTTGGGTTGGAAGGGACCTTAAAGCTCATCCAATCCCCCCCCCCCCTGCCACGGGCAGGGACACCTCCCACCAGACCAGGTTGCTCCCAGCCCCATCCAGCCTGGCCTTGAGCACTGCCAGGGAGGGGGCAGCCACGGCTGCTCTGGGCAGCCTGTGCCAGGGTCTCACCGCCTCATTGTAAAAAACTTCCTTCCTTGTATCTAGTCTAAATCTGCCCTCTTGCAGTTTAAACTCACTGTCCTGTCACAACTGGCCTGGCTAAAAAGACTGTCCCCATCTTTCTTATAGGCCCCTCTTAAGCACTGGAAGGCCACTGTAAGGTCTCCCCGGAGCATTCTCTTCTCCAGGCTGAACAGTTCCAGCTCTCCCAGCCTGTCCTCACAGGGCAGCTGCTCCAGCCCCCTGAGCATCTTCATGACCCTCCTCTGCACCCGCGTGAGCAGGTCCATGTCTGTCTGGTGCTGGGGGCCCCAGAGCTGGACGCAGTACTCCAGGTGAGGTCTCACCAGAGCAGAGCAGAGGGGGAGAATCACCTCCCATGACCTGCTGGCCACACTGCTCTTGATGCAGCCCAGGATGTGGTTCACCTTATTATAATTTCAAACAGATATTTCTTTGTTTAAACAGGTTTACAGCCAGCAATTCCAATGCAAATCAATGGTCACTAACTTCCCAGAAATATAACTTACTTTTGGTGTCTCAGTTTACCCTGCTACAGTTAATTTTCTTCTATTCTACTTAGTTTTTATTCTATTTTTTTTAGCAATTAGTCTAATTGGTTTTGGCACACTACTGTTATTGTGAAGCATTAAATATACGAAAAAACTCGATGTTTTGGGTATCACCAACAATATAAACAAGTAAGTTGCTTGTATAAGTATAACAGTCACTGCTACGTTGAAGAAGATGAAAGAAATACAATGTCTGTGTAAATGAAATTGTTTAATGTGGTCAGTCATGCATTTTATTAAACTTCCTTTTGAGCAGTTCTTTCTTTTAGAACCATCTGCTTGCCCTGATCTGCCGAAGATTGTAATTAAGTTCCTTGTTACAGTCAATATATATACCTACTTTGCCATCAGAATAGGTACGGTTGTACAGATGTTTTTCAAGCCAGATTTGATGTTTAGGTAGCATGAATTGTTAAAAGACAACATTTTCTTGGGGGGGGAAGCTCTTGCAGTGAGTCAATTCAAGACTAATGCAAGTTAGAGATACTGGAAGAAATACACTGAAAAAGTTGAGAGTCTTCAGAAAGCCTCTCATATTACACAAGATACAGTAAATTAGTTTTTGTACAAACCCCTCAAATCATAACTTACCTTTAATTAAAGTTTCAATTTCTTCAAGGATACCCTCATTTTTATGCTCTGCTAATTTCTCATTAATTTCCATGATTTCCGTGAGAAACACTGAGTCTGCATCACAGTCTGTCTCTTGTGCCGGCTCTACTCCATTCAGCTCCAGCTGGTGAAAAAATGGTGTTGGAAATACACATTCTTACATCTCTTTCAGTGTGAATTATTTTCTTGAATATTAAGTCTTTTAGTAGGGCTCACTCATATTCATATTGCTAAACTTCTGGTTTATTCCATTAAATGTGCATAAACAGAGCCAGTCTTAAAAACTAACTCCAGATGTAGACCATAAACATCAGCAGTTAACCAGAGCAAAAAGATGTAGTGGAGGCTGCCAAGGGCTAGACTAAAATTTCAAAGGATCAGCCGTGGCCAAACACAAGGGGTGATGCAGGAAACAAATCAACATAAGCAGCAAATAACATAAGAGCTTTGCCTCCCTTCAATCCGTGGTAATCCTCTTCAGAGGAACACAAATTAGCACGTTATCGATGGAGCCAAAGGTCCGATTCATCACATCACCACCAGCAGCTGCAGCAACCTACGATTAGTTCTGGGAGCATTGATGAGATAGGTAACGGACACCTTACCAGATAAAGGCCACGGCTCAAGGGGTTCAGGAGGGTTTGGTAGGCCTTGTTAACCAAGGAGGAGTGTTGCTCAGAGTAGTACTGTTCTTTCTGCGGAGGGACAATAAACAATAGTAACGAGTTAGGAACAAGTGGCAAAACACGTTCTGCTGTTACCCGCAGAGAACTAGTGTTTGTGCAACACGCGTGTGTAAAACCGAGAGTGGGTTTTTGACAGCGATGGGAAGAACGAGGAGAGGGCAACGTGGGCTCGTCACCGACGTCATCTCGCTACAAGCCCAAGAACCGCAGCAGCCCCTTATGGTCACCCTCCGCCGCAAACCGGCGAGCAGCAGTCTGTTCCAGGCGCCGGGACACAAGGAACGGGGAGACCCTGTAACCCCAGAGCAGAGGGCGCCGGGGACCCGGCGCTCTGCTCGCAGGGCCGCCGCCGCCCAACCCCGGCACAGCCCCAGGCGAACGGCGGCT